AGTAGGCTATAAGGCTATAAGTAGGGTTATAATTGGGGTAACTCCATTTAGGGTACTTATAACTCTACTTTTCACCTACTTACTAAGTCCCCTGCCCCTCCAAGCACAATGTGCCCGACGATCGGGAACAAGACGGGGTTCCAGAGAGAAGCTCGCCGTTTCGTTGGCGTCAATGCCAGTTGATAACTGAACCCTAAACCCTAAACTCTAAACCCTAAACCCAAAACACTAAACCCTAAACCCTAAACCCTAAACCCTAAATTCTAAACTCTAAACCCTAAACCCGTTAGTGCCAATGTGTGGCTTGCCTCCGCAGGTGGCTGGGGGTTCGCAGGGTCGGGCTGAGGGTGTGCATAGCCTCAGGGGGTGCCAGCGAACAAAGCTGTTACTTGGAGGGTCGGGGGACTGAGTAAGTAGGTAGTAAGCAGACTTATAAGTACCCTATAAGGGACCCTAATTAGGGTTATGGTACTTATAAGTCCCTAAAATAGCCAGTTACTAAGTCCCCCGACTCTCCAAGTAGGGTTCAGCAAGCTTACAGTTCTTGGGGTGTAAGGTGTAGCAGCTTAAGGGCTGTTTGGAGCTTTAAGTGTAGGGTTTGGGGATTGAAGCGTGCTCAGCGGCATTTAGGGTTTAAGGTTTGGGTTTTCAGGATCTCTTGGATCTGTCTGCAGCCATATCAATACACCCTAATTGAGGAATATGTATACACCATAAACCATAAAGAGAAGGCCCCCTATAAATTATACATCTTAAACCATAACATGAAGGCCCCTATCAATTATTGTACCTGAACCCAAACTCTAAACCCCACACCCCAACCCTAGACCCTGAACCCTAAACCCTAAACCCTAAACCCTACACCCCAAACTCTCTACTGTATATTCCTGAATTAAGGGGTACTTGGGCTCTGTGGGTTGCGAGTCCCAGAGTCGAAATCCTCCAAAACCCAAAAGCCGCGAACCCTTAAGGGTTTAGGGTTCAGGGTTTAGGGTTTAGGGTTTAGGGTTTAGGGTTAAAGCCTGATACCATGAACCCCGCAACCTGAAATCCTAAGGTGCTTAGCCAAATGGGTGGTTGTCAAGATTGTGGCTCCATTTTGGGCCCTTGCTATAATACGGCACCTAATATTTGGGGCCCAAAAAGGGACCATAATTTTGACAGCTATTCAACAGAGTAGCTGGACAGGACGTACATGTGGGGTTTCTGCATCGCGAGTATTAGGACACTCGAGACTCGACACCCCAAACCAAATCTACACTTACCTTTGATGTGGAGATGATGTACATTGACCAAAACCCTAAAGCCTCATCCCTAACTAATTCCTAAATCCCAATCCTTGGCCCCAACCCTGTTGAAGTCCTTCTAACAGCGCCCACAAAACTACTAAAACCCGATGTCAACTAGGGTCTTCTCCGCGTATACCCATGCCTCTTTGACGCCAAATATACACTTGGAGGGTCGGGGGACTTAGTAACTGGTTATTTTAAGGACTTACAAGTACCCTAACCCCAGTTAGGGTCCCTTCTTGGGTAGTTATAAGTCTACTTACTACCTACTTACTAAGTCCCCCGACCCTCCAAGCACTCACCAAACATGAAACCCTAAACCCTAAACCCTCAACCCGAAAACCAAACTTCACATGCGCCTGCCGCCCCGAAGGAAGCGAGCTGCCATCGGCTCACGGACTCAGGGAGCGCCAATGTTTAAAGGCTCCAGGTTTCGAGTTTGGGGCTTTGGGGTTCAGGGTTTAGGGTTACTTGGAGGGTCGGGGGAGTTAGTAAGTAGGTAGTAAGTAGACTTATAAGTGCCCTAACAGGGACCCTAATTGGGGTTATGGTACTTATAAGTCCATAAAATAACCAGTTACTAAGTCCCCCGACCCTCCAAGTAGGGTTTAGGGGTTAGGGTTTCGGGCTCAGGGTTCAGGGCGTTCGGATTTATATACGGTTCAGGGCATACGGCTCACGTGCTGTCAGGGTTTAAAGGTCCACGTGGAGCAGGGGGATTGCTGTTTGTCTGTTGGGGACTCGGGTGCAGCATTGAGCGGAGAGTCCCTTCGTGATGCCGTGGCCCTGCTACGTAATATAAGGAGCCTCACAGTTAGAATAGGGTTTCGGGGTGTATTATACTATAGTTATAATATCGAACCCGAAAATGGTGTAGGCAACTATTTAAGCCCCTAAAGTGCTCTATGGACTGCTGGGATGTTAGCTTGCAGCTTCGGGTATATACAGGGTCACGGTCTTGAGAGAACCCTCCAGCTGCTCTGGATAACAATACCAGTTGCAGTAGCAATAGTATCTGTAGTAGGGCAGCAGCATTCGTACCAGTACTGCAGAATGAAGCTAGAATCTCTGCAGCCTCTGTAATCTGTGAACTCCTTGTCCGTGCCCGCTGACCCCGGACCTTGATCACTACACTGCGAAAATAAGGCGCGGATGCTGACATCAACTCTAAAATCTAAACCCCGGCCCTACTTGGAGAGTCGGGGGACTTAGTAACTGGCTATTTTAGGGACTTATAAGTACCATAACCCCAATTAGGGTCCCTTTTAGGGTACTTAAAAGGCTACTTACTACCTACTTACTAAGTCCCCCGACCCTCCAAGTAACCCTGAACATCCAAACCTCAAAGCACCCTAAACCCTAAACCCTAAACCCTAAACCCTAAACCCTAAACCCTAAAGGCCCCCCCAAGGCCCCCAAACCTCAAAGGCCCCCAAACCTCGCCGAGGCCCGGGGCCCCGACTTTGTGGCGCGGTAGCGCCTGCCGGGCCAAGGGGCCTGAAAAGCAATACCCTAAAGCCCTGAAAGGGCTTAGGGTTTAGGGTTTAGGGTTTAGGGTTTAGGGTTTAGGGTGTATAGGGTTTAGGGTTTAGGGTTTAGGGTTTAGGGTTTAGGGTTTAGGGTTTAGGGTGTAGGGTTTAGGGTTTAGGGTTTAGGGTGTAGGGTTTAGGGTATAGGGTTTAGGGGTTTAGGGTTTAGGGTGTAGGGTTTAGGGTTTAGGGTTTAGATACCCTAAACCCTAAACCCGAAAAGCAGTCTAGCTCTGTATATACGGGTTTTGTATAATATAACATGTGTGTATGGTGTGTATATATGTATATATGTGTGGAAGCATGTGTGTATGCTTTTTGCCTGTGTACCCTTACATGTGTAATGTGTGTATACATATGTACGGGCATGTACCTCTGTCTGTGCGCATTTGTCTGTCCTTAGATTCTATTTGTCGTCATTGCTTATGTACTCACTTGTAACCACGCGTATAGTGTACACAAACCTGAAACACAGCCACAGAAAATGAAAACACTGAACTCTATACTGCACAACTTCAAACCCGAAAAAGACCCGAAACCCAAAACCCTAAATCCCAAACCACAGACCCTAAATCCCAAACCCTAAATCCTAAAACCTAACTCCCAAACCCTAAACCTGAAATCCAAAACCCGAAATCCTAGCAGGTGCAGGGCCGTGTGTTTGGGCTCTCGTTACTTGGAGGGTCGGGGGACTTAGTAACTGGTTATTTTAGGGACTTATAACTACCATGACCCCAATTAGGGTCCCTTGTAGGGTAACTTAGAAGTCTACTTACTACCTACTTACTAAGTCCCCTGACGAGCTTAGGGCTTCGGATTCGAGGTCTAAAGGATGAAGAGTTAGGGATTCAGGGATCGAAGGTTTAGGGTTTAGGGCTCGGAGTTTGGGATTTAGGGATCGAAGGTTTAAGGTTCAGGGTTCGGAGTTTGGGATTTAGGGGTCGGAGGTTTAGGGCTTGGGATTTAGAGGTCGAAGGTTTAGGGTTTAGGGTCCGGAGCTTGGGATTCAGGGATCGAAGGTTTAGGGTTTAGGGCTCGGAGTTTGGGATTTAGGGATCGAAGGTTTAAGGTTTAGGGTTCGGAGTTTGGGATTTAGGGTCGAAGGTTTAGGGTTTAGAGCTCGGAGTTTGGGATTTAGAGAACGAAGGTTTAGGGTCTGGGGCTCGGAGATTGGGATTCAGGGATCAAAGGTTTAGGGTTTAGGGTTCGGAGTTTGGGATTTAGGGATCGAAGGTTTAGGGTTTAGAGCTTGGGATTTAGGGATCGAAGGTTTAGGGTTTAGAGCTTGAGATTTAGGGATCAAGGTTTAGGGTTTAGGGTTCGGAGTTTGGGATTTAGGGATCGAAGGTTTAGGTTTTAGAGCTTGAGATTTAGGGATCGAAGGTTTAGGGTTTAGGGTTCAGAGTTTGGGATTCAGGGATCGAAGGTTTAGGGTTTAGGGTTCGGAGTTTGGGATTTAGGGATCGAAGGTTTAGGGTTCGGAGTTAGGGATTTAGGATTTGGGGCTTCGGGTTTCGGGATCCAAGGGTTTGGGCTACTGCAATCCAGGTGAAGGGCCCGTCCCAGTGCCGACGCGGCGGCAGCTGGAGCGGCCGAGGCATCTTTGCAAAACGAAACAAGACTTGCTGGAGGTTGATGGCTGTCGGTTTCTATCCCAGGAGGTACTAGATAGGGGCCTTAATGATTAGAGTACGGTTTGGGGGCCTATTATATCATAATTATGACAAGGCTGCAGGTAAGCAGGGTCTTCGGTTTAGGACTGCATGTTTCAGGACTGCTTGGGATGTTGTTAAGGTGGCGAGTGTACGGATGTTCCTTGAAAACGGGTCCGGAAAACATAGCGCGCAGGGTTTGGGTTTAGGGCCCCCTTGAACGAACTTCATTGCCCAGCCGACCCAAGAGGGAACACACACGCTCTCTCTTTCTCTTGTCCCTCTTTCCGCCTCTCTCTCTCTCTCTCTCTCTCTCTCGCTCGCCGTCTCTCTCGCATGCATCCATGTATGCAACCTTTGCGAATGCACAGCTCTAAAGCACCGCCTGCATGCTACGGCAAGTCGCGCTTCCGACTTTTTGCTTGCATCACCAAGAGCCGCGTGCTGCGGTAAAGGTGGTTAACTCACTTCCGAAACTGCACACTAACTCGCACAGAAGCTTACGCGCACATGCCAACAGGTCAGGCTAGCTACAGCACTTTCACACCGGTATAACCCTCTCTCTGACCTGTTGGCCTGACTGTACTGGCACGTTTCTTGAGTGCTTTTTCGTGAAACAGCAACCCATCGCAAAGCTGTTCTCGTAGATCAGATCCCCTATGAGCCTTAGTCAAACCGTCCGCCAGCTGGCATCTAGTGGGAACCCATAACAGCTTCGCCTTGCCTGGTTGCTCATGCTGATCCCTTGTCGTCAGCAGTTGGCGAAGCAACACAGCATGCACAATGTTTCCTTTCTCTCCCACGTGTTGGCCGTCTTTATGAATGGTGTCGTAAATGCTTTTACAGTCGGTGACCATAGTGAGCGGAACCAGCTGCTGCCATCCGTCATCTTCGACCGCGGACATGACTTTTGACCCGTACTTCAGCTCACACAACAAGACTTGGGCGAACCTAGACATGTTGTGCCCCATGATAGCGGCGTGGGTCTCGGCGGCGAACGACGACTCAATGACTCGACGATTCGTGGCGCTCTTCCAGTCAATGAGATTGAGGTGAACCCTACCCTCCTGCTCGATAGCCCCTTTCTTCACGAAACCAATGCAAGCGCCCTTCTGGGAATAAATCAAACGCTTGTCCAAATGACTCTGGAGGATATCTTCACACTGTTTCTCATCAATCTCAACTCCCACGCTACTGTAAAGACCCGCGTCATGATAAGTCACGAGTTCCGCATCATGCCCTAATGGCTTGAAGAGGATCTCAGTCCGATGTTTTGAAACTTCCCGAACGGCCTTGTTGGCCCTGATCAAGTCGGATACTCGAAGGTCCGAAATCCTCTTCTGAAGCTGGTTACATTCGAAAGCAATGTCGGGCCTGGACTGAACTGCCAACCATTGCAAGCTTCCCGTGATCGACCTATAATCCGTCACCTCAGTTGGATTGGCCCTGGCATCCGGCTCGCGGAGTCGTGACGAATCAATCTTCATCGTTTGAAGTCGGCCATCAATGAAAGCATTCTGAGCAAGCGTGACACAAGTCTCGCCGTCCTTGTTGATGACCTTAATCTCTTTGCCACAATACGTCACCCCGCTTTCTTGCTCACAGACTTTCATCCATGTCCCAAACGGAAAACGATCGGTCAGCTTCTTCTCTACTTGTCTCCCAGCTTCACCACCATTGTGACAGAACATCACATCATCGACATGAACCACCATCAACCCTTGAAGATTCCCTTGTTGATCTCGCAGAGCAAACATGGCAGGGTCAGTCTTGCATTTACTGAATCCCATCTCTTCTTCAAGGATCCTGGCAAGCTCGTTGTACCAGGCACGTGGTGCGTCTGGTCTGCCGTACACAGGTTTGAGTAACTTAAGAAGTTGTCCTGGCTTCATTCCACTCAGACCTTGTTTGGGCTGTCTCATGAACATGTCCGGCTTCCCAGACAGAGGAGCTCCTTGGAGGAAGGCATTCGAAATGTCGCCAATGAACCAGTTACTTGTCCAGCCTAGGCTCGTGACCATATGAAGGAACACCATAGTGGACACCCGTTCAACCGTCGGACTGTCAACCTGAATTTGCCCAGTACGACTATCAGGACACAAATGCCCCTGCAAGCATAATCGAGCCTTTGCTTTCACAGGTAACTCTTTCCCACTGGCCTCAAGCAAACCGGCATTCTTGTTGCGAAATACATACCGACTCGGAAGAATCCTCTCAGGCCTTTCTCTCTCAAGACGCTGACTCTCTTCTAAGCTCAGTATTTCGCAACTCTCATATTCCTGCCATGACTTCCATTCTTTCTCTTCCGCTTGTTTGTACAAATCTCGATCTTTCTCAGGAATGGTGACATATGGGATTTCCTTTTCAAGCATGCGCTTCAATTTGGTCTTACTCTGGCTTCCCACATTTGCCACATGAACCTGTTGTGAAGGAGGTTGTTGTCTTCTACGCTTGACACTCAGCGGAACGTCGTCCAGAGCCGCATCCTTTCGAGTGCGGTTCCGAAAGATCGTGATCAGTCCTGCCACGGGAGCCTGCGGGATGAATTGATGTTGATCTTCAAGCTCCATCCATTTCACTTCATTCTCAACACACTCCCATCGGCCATCCACATGAACCCATGACGTACGATACGGAAAACGCTCACCTGGATACCTCGGTTCAGGAGTTCTGAATGCCCAGGCCTTGTATGACACTAGAACCGGACTGCCACTGTTGTCCACATGCCAACCGACCTGTCCTGACATCCGCGCATGTTCATCACTCAAACCCTCGGTGTCCAGGCTTCTCTCATCAGTCATGAGTTCATCAGCAACCTCCTGACACAATGGCTGCTGTTCGAGGTCCATAGGCTCCCCTTCAGGATCTGGTTGTCCAATAAGATCTTCATATGTGGCCTCCTTAGGTACTTTCCGGAATAGTGCGATGGCTTTCTGAACCTCGGGATTCCCATATTGCTTTTCGTCGCCGACGGCTTCTCGTAGATGCTCTCCTGCCACTAGAAAGCACCTGCCCCCTATCGCGACCCAAGCATTGCCATCCTGAAGTCCAACCACATAACCCGGACCAACCCACTTACTCTGACTGTCACCCTTCTTACTCTTCTCAGCTCGCCAAAAGAAGACCATCTGACCTATCTTCGGAACGGGCAACTTGCGAGTCCTATTATGAGCTGTCCGGAGGAGCATCTGTCTCGCCTGGCTTCGAACAAACTCCATCTTGGCATGGTACCGGAACCTCATGCGGCTTGCTACGTCGCTACCTTTCTCTCCCACCGAAGGATGGTAGGCCGTAGGATTCCCTTGATGGTACATTTCTCCAAACACCCGAGGTTCCCTTCCAAAAACCAAAGCTACTGGCGCCCAGCCATGTTCTCTCACAAGAGAATTCTTGGCACATGCAACTTCCCTGGCAAGCTTCCTCATGTCTTCACGCCCCACCGTAGCAGTTTGCCTGATGGTGGCAAATAGCATATCTTTGATAGTGGAGTTATGTCGTTCTATCTTGCCGGCCTGGAAATGTGCGGTGCCAGCTATCGAAACAAGGCTGCTGCCGGATTGTGACACCTTCGTCCAGAAATCTGGTCCAATGAACCCTCCCTCAAGATCGGTAGTCACACGTGAAGGAACCCCAGCCCACTTGCTCCATCCCCTATCAAAGGCTCGATGAAGCTCAAGAGGAGAATGATCCCTCAACATTTCCAGAACGTGGTATGACGTAGCTCGATCGAGGATAGACAAGAACCAGAAATTCTCCTTGTTCGCATCTCTGATACACAGACAATCCAACTGGACCTCGTCCCCAAACTCAAGCTGACATGGTGGCATATTCGTGGTGCGGTGTGTACTGGGACGCCTCGCATGAGCACAGGTAACACACCTCATCCAACTGACAGCTTCAACAACCTCTTTACGAGCTCCACCTAGCTTCAGAAATCTCGCGAAGTCTTCCTTGCTGGGGTGTCCCAGGTTACAGTGGGCTTTGATCAGCCCATGGCGTATCGCCTCACTGAGGCGCCTCCCAGCAGGGACCTCAAACGTGATACCGCCCGAAGCAAGTTTTGCTCGCACTCTTTGAGTAGGCTCCTGAGATCCGCGTGCCTGTTCTTCCCCAGCTGCTTCCGCCTGTTCACTTCTAGGCTCCTGCAGATCGGGAATCATTTCTTCATCACCATCTTCATCACTCATCTCATCCCCTTGTGCATAGACGATGTTCCACTGTTTGAGAGCACGCATGATATTTTTCTCATTCCACCTGAGCTCAGACACTCCCTTCTCGTCATCGTGAACCTTCCGGCGGATCTTGGCTGACAGGCTTCGGAGCATTCGTCGGACCCTTCCCGGCTCGACCATCTTCAAGTATCGCGTGTATCCTCGACATACTGCCTGCGCAAATTTCCGATGCCACACATCCGCCTGCCGACTTGAACTGCGATCTGTGCTCCCTTCAAATCTACCGATCTCTTCAGCAATGGGTTCGCATGTAGTGGCCCATTTCTTCACCCGATCATCATATTGAATGCTCTGCACACACTGAATCCTCGGATGTCTACATACCACATCAAGAAACTGTTGAACACTTTGATCGCAACTCATTGGCATATCCATGAGCACATGATCTCCCCGTCCCACCTGTCCATCAATCAAATGGTTGATAAACTGGTACCTCTGCTCCATGCTCTGTCTCTTCTGTCTCTCACGTCGCTTTTCCTGAGACCTGTGACCATTCGAATGACACGACTGACCGACGGTGGGACAGCAACCATTCAGTATGACGAGACGGGGACAAACTCGATCCACCCAGTCTATGACAGCCTCCCGGTTCTCCGCTTGGGCAAGGTCACCAGCCAATTGCTCACATTGCTTTGACCGCCAACCCCAACGAGAGAAAGATTGTGCAAAACAAACTTCAGATGACCCGACCTCAACCACATCCGGCCGGATCCGGGAAGCATATGGTACTGCTTCTGCCGCCGCACCCGCTAATGCAGCGGTCGCGATAAACACTCCAGCCACTATGGCCCGAGCGTTTCCTAGGAGCCTCTTTGCGACACCTTTCTTCAACTGGCGCCTACGCTCACAGCCCTCCTGAATCCTATTACGAACCTGGTCCGGACTTAGAGGCTCCCGTGGAGAATCTACTGCATCACCCTCGGCTGCAGGCTGAAGCTCACTGGGCAAAGGTTCGTGCTTCACTTCTCGTCGGAACTGTTTCCATGTCCCTTGCCCTTCACGTTGCCGGCCTTCTTCTTCCGCATCTCCATCACCAGTTCCACTTCCTCCTCGGTGAGATTGGCATTCACCAGCTTGTTCGGTTCCTCGTTGTCGGAGGATTCGATCTCCACCGGGCCCGTCTTGACCCAGGATTGATCTGAGGAGACCGGTGCGCTTCCCTGTGGTGGGCTCCTGCGGTTCTTCGTTCTTTCCTTCGGCAGGAAGTTCTTCTCCTCCTTGATCTTGACTCTTGACCATCGCGGCAGCCTTGAGCTCTTTCTGCACCTCCTTGGTCGGGCGATGATCGTAGGTGTACGGGAGCGTGGTGCGACAGGCTGGGAATCGCCTGCAACCCCAAAAGGGCTCGTGAGTGAGGCGATTGTTGCGCTGCACCATCGGTATGCCGCACACCGTGCATTTGGGACAAGGATCTGCCATCTCGAGGTCCCGGTCGAGGTTCATAGCAGCATTGGCCTCCACCGCCCACATTTCGAGCTCCATGATGAGCTGGCTCCGGGACCAACGTCCCCAGTGATTGTCGTGGACTCGCCCCACGTCTTCCACGACATGGCTTGCGTAGACCTCCTTGAGGGCCCGGGGTTCGATCCCTTGAGAGGCGGTTTGACCACCGCCCACAATTCCTTCAGCCGATCGAGACTGTGGGCCCTCAGCTCCTCGTGCTTCACCTTGCACCGGCTGGCCACTGCGATCACATAGTCCTCCTTCCTCTTCGGGGCGAGAGTCGACATGATGAGACCCACACTCGGCCCTCGAAGAGTACATCACACACATCCACATCATCAGCATCTCTAAGCGGCTCTTGGTGATTCGATGACATGTATGTGTGACCCTGCTGCTCCCCAAAGGTCCTGGTGACTTCTTTCCTCTGTAGAGGAAACTTCAACTTCTTCATTGCTTTCCTCATCTGGCCATCAACCTGGGTGGCCGTTCGTACTGAGTAACACGACAGACACCATCTCTCGCCCTTCCACTCGTGAGTTGCATGTGGGACATGAGGATCAAACTGAAGTGGTCGACGATTTGTGTCATAAAGCCGGCCGCGTAGCCACTCACCCCGATTGCCCTGTTTCCATGTACACTCGGACTCACTCACTTCTTGATCTGCAACCCACAGCTGGCCTCCTTCGAAATCACCGAAGGTGACCGTCGTCGCGAGGGCCTGTTTATCATTGTGCCGATCCACATGCACTTCCGTGGGGACATTCTTCATCAAGGTGAATGATGACCACTCCCCATCCACATGCGATGCCATGAACATGTTCACATACCGAACAACATTCGGATATCGCAACGTTCTTTTAGTCACTCCAGTCCATGCTCCATGACTATATATCCCAGCGACCCAAGCTTCATGACCCTTGCCTTTCCCACCGTTGATGGCTCGGTGCCGCTTGGAGGTGTTGAAGGGAAGCATCCTGACCAGTCGCGCTAGGGCTTCATAGGAATAATCTTGGGCATGGTAGAGTTTGCGGGCTTCATCTTCACACCGTTGAACGTTCTCTGATGTTGCTCGGACCTTGTTGTGAAATCTCTCCTGCTCCACCGGGATGTCCGCCATGCACACCTGATCGCTGTCCGCTTCATCTATAGTGATCTTGTGGTCATCCTCTAGCAACTGCCGCGGGGGAATTTCCCGCCTGGTCCGAGAGGGCCTCGTGTTGATCTGGAAACCACATAGCCCGGCTTTCGTCTCCCTGAGTGGGACTTCTGCTTGCATTTCTCGGAACATGATCTTACCTTTTTCCAAGTCCATGACCATTCCCAGTCCCTTCAGAGTAGACTTGCTGAGCAACAACGGGATTTCCTGGTCGACGACGCTGACTCTCACTCGTGCAGTCTTAGAGGCTCCCACCACATGGAGAGGCATAATCACTGCATACGATGACATAATCCTCGGTCCTCCCCCGAACCGAAAAGGCCTCGCCTCGTTGACGATATGCACATCTTCTCCGTGGCGCTGTAGAAGTTTCAAATGCCTCTGCATCCATTGGGTCCCGGCCACCGTCCTGGCACAACAAGTGTCACTGAGGGCAAGGTTATCACGATCAGGTTCCTGTCCGGTCTGCATAACAATGTTAGTGCACACCTCCTGTGGATCATCGTGATGTTCCTCAGCGCCTGCGTCCGCCGTGGCGAGGTAGATAGCCGCCAGCTCGTCTCCTTCATCTGAGTCGCTTAACTCCTCGGCGACCACGGCGAGCACAGGCTTGTCCCTCTGCGGATCGCGCTTCGTTGTGTCCTGTCCGCCCTTCCGGTACGGGCATTCGGCATCACTGTGCCAGTGGCCGTAGACGGTAAGGCCATGCGCCTTGCAAGCGCTGCAAGGCATTTTGGCTTTCATGCTTCTGATCCTCTCTTGTCTCGCCTCACTGCTCTCACCTCGTGAGAAACCCCTTGCTCGTTCAATTTCGGCACGTTTGCGAGCAGCCTGCGTCAGAAGGACTTCCAATTCCCCTTCGAGCTCTTCAGAATGAGCCTCATCGTGATCTTCTTCTTCACCCTGTTCCACGTCATGATTGTCCTCGGTCGCGGCATTCACTTGTCTCGGTCCGCCTTTCGTCTTCCACTGCCTAAACGGAGTCCTGGTATGAGCCGATGAAGATTCTTCGTCCCTCTTCACCTTCGGGACGATCGCCATCAGGGCTTTCCTCAAACGACTATAATCATACTCACCGCCGGCAGCCGAAATGACCTGTTTCCGCAACTCATCCGACAAGCTTGCCTTCTCCAGGAACCAGTAGGCCTTGTTCAAGCCATCGATCTTCGCGCCAATCTCCTCCAAGCGCTTCAAGTGGGTGCGAAACTCCATGTCATACGTGATAAACTCCTGGCCCGCAGTCCTCTTGAAGCCACGATAATACTCGGTCAGGGTCGAGAAGACTCTCAAGTGCTCGAGGGGCTCCAACTCCTGGTACAAGTGGCTGAGAAGTCGCTTAACTCCATCTTCGTGCTTGAGCTCCTGCAAGTCGAGGCCTTCGGTTGCAATCCATGCAGGGCCCGTCAGCCTCTCCATCAATTTCTGAGCACGGTAGCTGGGGTCAATCCCTGTTGCACTCTCAAACAAGCGAACTCGACGTTCATAACCTCGCATCGGGGTTTTGCCGTCATACTCGGGCACATGATCTTTGCCCGTCTTCGGAGAGCTCTTAACCTGACTCCCTGCATCACTCGACTCCTTCACCTCTTCTGAAGCATCTGCGGAGAATTCTTCAGTAACCGTTGTGGACTGCACTGAAGCCCTCCGCCCGCCTGAGTCTGCAGGTTGGTCCGCGCCGGCGTTCCATCCCGCCCAAGAAGCGTTGTCACTGCTATTCCATCGATAGCCTGGCCAGTTGGACTTCCTACCGTAGTAACCGTCATCCCAGCTACTCGCAGGCTGTCTCTCCCATTGGCCTTGCCACCAAACATAATCCCAAGTGCTGTTGCTCCACCGAGGGCCTGTCGACCCGTAATGCTCTGCCGAAGTTCGGGCATCCCAAGACGCCCACGGACGAGTGCCTCTCCATCCGTCATCATCTGGTGCCCCATCATTGTGGCCACCATCGCCGCTATTGCCATCCGCCTCCTGAGGAGGCTGCGCCGTGCTGCCTGACATCGCTCTGCCCTGCTCCGCACAACCAATGCGAATGCAGAGCTCTAAAGCACCGCCTGCATGCTACGGCAAGTCGCGCTTCCGACTTTTTGCTTGCATCACCAAGAGCCGCGTGCTGCGGTAAAGGTGGTTAACTCACTTCCGAAACTGCACACTAACTCGCACAGAAGCTTACGCGCACATGCCAACAGGTCAGGCTAGCTACAGCACTTTCACAACCTTGACATGTACCGACATACCTATGCCCGTTGCGGATTCCGGTCATCCTGTCCTTACTGTTCTCTCAAGGGTCCAGGATGTAGGGTTTAGGGATGAACGCAGTGCGTCCAAACTCCGGCGAAGCCAGGTTTCATGCAGAACATCTGCAAATATCAGCGATTGGAGCACGAGTCATTACATTAAGAGATAGGATTACGGGGACCCTTGGGGATATAGACCCTCTCAGTAAGGTCCCTTTTGAGAGAGCCAGAAGCAGGGTTAAGAACTGTCCCCTGCAAGGGGCCTCCCTAATACCACCTGGGATACATGCAGTGTTTGAGCGATTGTCTAGAGCCGCTGCCCGAAACCCAAAACTAGGTGGGGCTTTTGGAGCCTTTGAAAAATCTTAGTAAATAAGGTCCTCTTAAGCCCAATAAGGGAAAATATAAAATGCCCCAAAGCCCTACCTAGAAAACGATTTGATAGCTAGCCGGCCTGAGCACCTGTGCAGGGCCCGCAAGCAGCGAGGTTCTGCCCAACATGGCTCCGCAGAGTTTGCGCAACGTGCTGCTCTTATGGCAGAATCATATATCCTTGTGCTTTCGGTCTGGGCTGATATGTGGGTCGGGGTTTCGGGATGTCGATTCTTACTGTTCGATTGCTGCGACTATAGCTGCTTTTAGTCTCCCTATCTCCAAGTTGTCCTGATTGGGAAGCGAGCTTTGAAAGACGCTTTCGTTCGGTTTTGAGCTTGGTGTCGAGGGCTCTGGGCTTAGGGTCAGCAGCTCAAGGTCTTACTGTGCGAGTCTAGAAGTGTCTAGAATTTGGGGTGCAGGGTGGGGTTCAGCATCTATACGCACAGCTCATGGTTCTTGAAGGGATATGGATCAAAACTGTACTGTGGAATCGAGCTTCATGGTATGGTCCCATTGCGCATGTGCTACACATGCCAGCCCCCTGCGGTGTCGAAGCGCACATGGTGCTTCTCGGTTCTCCTAGTGCCTCGAACAACTCGAACCTGCTCAAACCCTAAAACTTTGAACCCCTAGTGGATGCCTGAACCATAAACCCTTTTGGAAGCCCGAAACACCTGCAGAAGCCGTATAGAGCCCTCAAAGAAACCTGAACCCTAGGGCTTTGACGAAACCGCTTCTCCTATTCAGAAGCACTTATTCAGTTGTGCGCTTTCCCTGCAGCCTGTGTTGCCATTTGCTTAGGGTTCGGAACCAGTTGAAAGTTCTAGCGGCTCTTTGTGGCGAGTCTGCTCTGCGATCGAACATCATCGTGAATTTCTCACTCGTAAACCCTGAACTCCCCCCCACCCTAAATCCTAAAACACAGAAAGCCCTGGCACTAAAATCCTAAACCCTCAGCCCGAAAATCCGAACCCCAGAAATGAAATGGCACGGAAAATCTGAAAAATCGGAACCCCCCAAGCCCTAAACCCCAAACCCCCAAACTCCAGAGCCCGTTGGTTTGTGTATTAAATCAAGGGTATTGAGCTATCTGCATTATAATATGAAGGGTGGGCCTGTCTGCTCTGCTAGAGGGTTTCGGGTTTGTTGGGGTGATAAGGTTTGGTTCTAAGTCTGCAAAACAGCTCTTTTTTCTTGCCGGTCTTTTCAGCATTCTGTCTCGAGATACAAAGCCTCGCTTGACAACAAAGTGCCGAATGTGCAACGGCAGCTCAAGAGTATGCAAGAGCGAGCTCGCTTTCCTCTAGCAGCCTGCTACTGCCAGGGCCCGGAATCACCGCCGGCACAATCACCCCAACATCCCTACACCCTAAACCCTAGACCCCAAAATCAGAAACCCTTCCCGATCGATGCAGTCTACGCCTTGAGCCAGGAGGGTGTCTGCGAGCTCCTGGTGAAGTGGACGGAAGACGCGCTCTCAGCAAAATGCTCGACTTCCTCGTGGCAGCCTCGGGACTCGGGCCCTAAACCTTAGAAGGGGCCCCCACCCTGTAATAGTGGTATAATGGGAATATAATAGGGCCCTAATATAATCCTTGTAGTCACTATTACAGGGTGGGGGCAGCTTCACCTAAACCCTAAACCCTAAACCGTCAAGGGGAGGGCTTTTGGAGGTTCGAGGCTTTGGGGGTTTGGGCGCTTGAGGTTCTCGGATCCTCCCCCATGTCTTTCTTGCAGAGGTTCAAAACGACAGACTCATAGGGTTAGTATACAAGCCTGAATATTTGCCAATATTATTCCTTAGGTCTCCTTATTGCAGTTAGTCTATGATATACCCCAAAACCCTAATTGAGATTATTAAGACCCCTATAGAATCTCAATCTCAGAAGGCGAGGTCGAGGGTTTGCGGTTCGGAAGAACGCCTGTGACCCCAAAAGCCCTGCCCTGCCAGCAGGGCTTCAAAATCTCGAAGACAACAAGAGGGATGCATCGGACTACGGTTTCGGGTTAGTAGAATGAGGCAAGCTGCACATGTTCCGGAAATGAAGCAGCTCTTCCATGGTGATGTCCTCGACCAAGCCACTGGGAAAACGGTTTCGCAGACCCTAGGACAACTATCTTGAGCTGCCTTCTTGGGAATACTGGCTACTGCTACGAATCCCGACGAGTACTAGTACATCTTTGGACTAGTTACTAACCCAAAGAACTCTTATGCAAAACACCTATGTATATATATATATATGTATACAGATATATACAGATATATACATATGTGTGTATATATATATATATATACATACACATATATATATATATATGATTTCTTACATAAATACCGATCCATACAGCGTGCCTTACCGCATGCTGCATGTGGGGAAGTCGCGGTTTTCCATACCTGTATAGATAGATAGGTAGATAGATAGATACTGTTGTGTGGGTATGTGCTCGATCTATGTGCTCATGTATGTATATACGTAAACACCTACCCATGTATGAATGTACAGGAATATAAGTATGCATACAGATATAGAGGATCAAACGTGCACGGGCATGTGGGCATGTACGTCTACGTGAGCATATGTGCTCAAACAGAAAACGTGTAGCTGTGTCCATGTGTATGCGATGCATATACAGAAGTATACACATACATTTATGGATTGATGTACTTATTGGCTCATGCATGTGTGTATACCCGTATACATATACATACATGTTATTTGTCTGTATCGGTTTGTAGATTCACCGATGCTTCTGCAGATACAGGTGTCCCGGGTGATGTATATTACGGTGCACGCTACACTGTGCAAACTGGAACTATCTATGTGCACAGCACTATACAGCCATAAATTGTCATAACAGTGCACACACTCTTGTGCACATGTACAAAAAACATGCGCGTATACATCGTATACATACTCATTTATTGGTTTATGTAGAGAGAGAGAGAGAGAGAGAGAGAGAGAGAGAGAGAGAGAGAGAGAGAGAGAGAGAGAGAGAGAGAGAGAGAGAGAGAGAGAGAGAGAGAGAGAGAGAGAGAGAGAGAGAGAGAGAGAGAGAGAGAGAGAGGAGAGAGAGAGAGGGAGCGAGGGAGCGAGGGAGGGAGGGAGGGAGAGAGAGAGAGAGAGAGAGAGAGAGAGAGAGAGAGAGCGAGAGAGCACACGAGCGAGGGAGAGAGAGCGTCAGAGAGTGTTTGAGGGAGACAGAGAAAATAGGAATGTATGTCTAGGTACCATGCGTGTATGTATGCATACCTGTACATAAATACACAGATAAATGCATGTTAGCATTTTTTGCAGCTGCACACATATTACCCACATGACCGATTGTACAATGATGTACGTGTGCCTGGTCATAGGTGTGGAACTTCCGAGCTAGCAAAGTCTGTGCAAACATCCGTACACAGACACCTGTAACTCACGTCTTGCATACTTGCATACATTGCGTGGATTGGCGTGCTACACATACATACATACATACAGACAGACAGACATACATACATACACACGCACGTGACTCTTCTTATTTTCGCTATCTCTCTCTCTCTCTCTCTCTCTCTCAAACACACTCTAAACAATATTACAGAAGTCTGAGCACGCCACAAACCCTCAACCCGAAGCCACGAGGCTGGAATCACTCACATGCGTCGTCCCCTAAGCCCCAAACCCTAAACCCTAAACCCTAAACCCCAAACCCTAAACACTAAACCCTAAACCCTAAGCCCCAGACCCTCGGCCCTGAAGCCCTGTCCTTCCGGTTGAGCCACTTCCACCGGCAGCTGTGCTCCTCTTTCTTGCGCTTGGCATCGTTTTTCTCAGCTGACCTCATGGTTAGGGTTGAGAGTTTAGGGATTAGGGTTTAGGGTTTAGGTCTAGGGTTTAGGGTTTAGGGTTTGGGGTGTAGGGGTTTTGGGGTTTAGGGATTCCGGTTGGAGTTTCTTTTCTTGGAGTTAGAGGTAAGAGTTTTGCAGTCGAAGGAGCTGGCACTTGGGGTGTGCGACAGAAGTTAACCAGTTTTGACATCTGCCTTTCCAATTCGTCGAGATTTGGGGTTTGAATAATCAGGAAGCTTTCCACTTTGGGTATGCGCCTCTTTCATTCAACAAGTCCCACACTAGTGGAATCTGTGCTGGCGGCACATGCAAGACATTCGTCGAGATCAGGTTAACCACACCGCGAGAGAATAACCAAATCTGTATCGTGATTCAGCAATCCGACAGCAGTATTAACAATCATAACCATTCACAGCAGCGACATCAGTAAGAAAGATTGAGATGGAGACACCGATCGTACATCACAACTAGTAGCACGCCATATCTTTGTTCAGCGATTGGGATTCATACCTTGCGGATTATGATGTCTAGAGTCCATCCAGCAAGTGTGCCTTAAGGCTTGAAACAGTTTTAGCCTTCGGGTGTAGGGTCGAGGGACGCGGTTTAAGACCCCTAAAACCTAGACCTAAACCCCCAAAACCCTGAACTCTATCAACCCTCAAGCTGCAAGCTGAAGGGATTGCACACCTTGGAGTTTAAGCTCCAGGGCACCTACCCAGCCGTACGTTTGGAGCTCATGTGGCTCATGAGTTCAGGTTCTTTCTGAAGCCCTCCGAGAGCGTGAGCAAATAAGAGTTTAAGGTTTAAGTGTTGAGGGTTTGGGGCTGAGAGGATCTCAGGCCTTGCAGTGCCCAACGGGTTTCTAGGGCTCAGAGAGCACAGCGTTTAGGGCTTAGGGCTTCGGGTTTGGAGTTCTATCGGGTTTGTGAAGATTGTTTATGGGGTGTAGGGCTTAGTGTAGGGTTTGAATCGGGCGGTTGAGGCTTCGAGGTGCAACCGGACTCCCCTTGGAATCAGATTTCACCCGATCCAGACCCCACGCAGTCTGGGCCAAACCCCAACAGCCAAGACGTGCGAGAGCTCCGCTGGAACGCAATGCAGAAGCCCCACAGAAACTTCGATGGCAGGGTTGACCCAATCCCGGAGTGTCTCGTGCCATTTCAGCTGCCTTTCTAAGACCTCGATCTTCTTCCTCAAACGTTCCACCTCGCCATTCTGGCCCTGCCGCTGCGAGAGGGACAACCTCACCCTCACGGTGGAATTGCATAATGGTTCCATGTGCGAGCCACAATGACAACGCACATTCTCTAAACAGGCCTCAAGGAGAGCCACCCTAAACCCTAGACCCCCCAAAGCCTAAAGCGACCGTGACAGACAGGGTTTTAAGACAATCTGGAGCCAAAAGACCGTAAACCCTAAACCCCGGCCTGAACCGTGACAGACACGGAACTTCACACCGAACCATGGCCGTGTCGGCAACCGTGATCCTCAGAGCCTCCAAAACCCCCTAATTAAGGAATATACCTTAAATCATATTAGGGCTCCTATTATATTTTAAGGCACATTCCTTAGGGGCTTTTGGAGTCTCTGGGTCTGCTCAAACCCTCAACCCCGAAACCTCCTGGGGTTTAGGGTTGAGGCTCAGCCCTCAACCCTGGAACCCGAAAACCCTGCACCTACACCCTGAACCCTTAAACCTTGGACCCTAAAGCAGAAAGTTGAAACTCTAGACCCCGAACCGAAAAAGTTGTAAACCTTGGACCCTAAAACAGAAAATTGAAACTCTAGACCCCGAACCGAAAAAGTTTTTGTATAAACTCTAAGCCCTAAGCCCTGACATTTCACTTTCGTGGTCCCCGGCCGCTTTTGGGCCTGCTGCACTCGGCGCTTCCGAGCATCTGCGCGACTGGCAGCGGCCTGGACAATCAAAAGGCGTTCTACGGCTTCGGATTTAGGATTTGGGATTTAGAGTTTAGGGTTTAGGATTTAGGATGTAGGATTTGAGATTCAAAATTTAGGGTTTAGGGTTTAGGAGTTACGATTTAGGGCATGGGTTTCAGGAGTTATGCCAGCGGTCACACGGACAGCCACGAAGCGAGGCACTTGGCGACGAAACGGAGGCCATGGAAGCCGCTTCAGGGCCCGACACCGACATAAGGGTTCCTTTAAGGGTCCCTTTAAAGGAGGATCTATAGGGGTTCTACAAGGGTATAAGGTTTAGGGCCTATCCTGGAGGTTCATGGGTTGTTATAAAGGGGGGTTGCAGGTCTCCTAATACGGGTCATAAGTATGGTTACCCTACTGACAACCCCACTTATAACTACCCATGAACCTCCGAGTAGGCAGCATATCAGCACGCATCAGGAAGAAGGTAGCAGAAATAGCAATACCTCTACTACAGATAAAGGTGGCGACAGGAGTAGGTGCAGCCGTAGTAGTGGCGGTGGTGCTGGTGGTCGTCGTCGCAGTAGTAGCAGGAAGTAGCAGTAGTAGCAGTCGTCGTCGTAGTAGTAGTAGTAATACTAGTAGTAGTAGTAGTAGTAGTAGTAGTAGTAGTAGTAGTAGTAGTAGTAGTAGTAGTAGTAGTAGTAGTAGCAGTCGTCGTCGTCGTCGTAGTCGATCATATAAGCATCGAAGTGATGCCGAAGGCCTCTCGGGTCTAGGGAGCAAAGCTCAGAGAGTACTTGGAGATCCATGGGTGGTTAAAAGTGGGGTTCCTTTAAGGGCTCTATGGGGTTTGGGGGAGTACAGGGTTTAAGGTTCATGGGTAGTTATAAGTCGAGTAGTAAGGCCGAAACCTCCAGCCGCGGACCCCTCAGCAGAGGGCTTTGGGTTTAATTCGCAAGCTGGAAGCACTCAGGGCCTGGAGCTTACAGTACCCTTTGGGGTTTAGGGTTTCAGGTGCCCTAAGCCTTCAACAGGGCTACAGGGCTTGGGGTTCTTGCAGTTAGGGGCTTCGGCCCGTGAAGGCTTCATGAGATGCCGCCTGCTTCCGCTTGCGACGTGCCGCCAGCCTCGCTGCAGCCTGCACGGAGGGGTTCCTCTTAAAGTTTAGGACTTGCTGTTACTAGCATTCCTACTAGAGTTTCTGTGAGGGTTCAGATCTCGTTCGGGCTTCGGCTGTTTTAAGGGGGCTTCCATGCAGGACCAGAACCAGGTTGCTGGGGAATGATAAACTTCCAGTCTCGCAGAATCACATTACTGATTGGTGGAGTGAAGCTCCTATACCTCTATAGGGGCGGAGCTTCGGGCTTACGGGGCGGTCATTCTGGTCCAGACGACATGGTGAGGAGGGAGTTGCATAGGGCATTGATACTTGGAGTGGGGCTTTGGCAAAGACTGCCATAGAAACCCTAAACCCCAAACCCGAAACCCCAAACATGGAGTTACATATAGGAGCTAGACAGGAATGTTCTTGCAGCATATTCCTTGTAGAGGATTCTGGTCCCGAGGATCCTGAAGGGTTGCGCAGAGGCTTCGACGACAGGAGGTTCCGAATGCCATCGTCTGACATCTGATTGAAACGTAAACCCTACACTTAACCCTACAATCCTAAACTCTAAACCCTAAAAGCCTCAAACCCTAGACCCCAGACTGCCGAAAAACCCCGACCCGTGGGCCCAGTTCCTTGAGTCCTCGGCTCCCCACGGGAGCTACTTGGAGGCCAAGTCAGTGAAAAGCACGGTTATATTTGGGGTAACTCCATTTAGGGTACGTATGATTCTGCTTATAACCTACTTACTATATAAGTCCCCTGGGCCTCTAAGTACGACCACGAAGTGCATGCAGGCGACTGCGTTCTTGAGAGTGGCGCCGCAGAGACAGTTCCGGCGTCACTCAGCAGAGTCTATCCACTGGGCGGGAAGCCTCCGATCGCTGAAGCAGCAGAAGATACAGTACTGTCATCGCATTGTGGCACAAATCATCCCCACTGAAACCCAATGCTACCCGTGGCGGCAGCACAACTCACAGCTCCCAGAGTGGCAGGTTCTACGACTCCCAAGGACTGCAATCCTTTGCCTATGGAAAGGTAGGAATGAGTGTTGGGAACCGCTACATCTCACAGTGCATCGGACACCGGGTGAGGCAGCCCCAAGTGACAAATCGACACCGGGTTCGGCAACAGCTCTTCCGTGCCGAATCCTTGCAGCTGCAAGTCCAGTTGTCAAGTTTAGGGTTTAGGGTTTAGGGTTTAGGTTTAGGGTTTAGGGTTTAGGGTTGGCCTACCACCAACCCTAAGCAGTCCCGCTACACATGGCTGCTAGTTTTCGAAGCCTGGGACAGCAAAACAGACGAGATGTTCGATCGGCTGCGGCGTCTTTCGGCAGTCTACCCGAAACCCCAAAACCCAAAACGCTAAACCCTAAACCCTAAACCCACGCCGGCTTCAGCGCTGCTTCCCAAAGCCCGTGCGCCAGAAGATCATCGAAAAGCGGCGAACCGTCCGCCGCGAGGACAACTGCATCGTGGCTGAGCAGGTTGCTCCTAGTTCAACCCCAAACGGCCAAACTCCGTAAAACATAGGACAAGGGTTCCCTTGAAGGGTTCCTTAAACGTGGTCTGTAAAGGATCTGTCTAAGGGATCTATAAGGCTACTATCATGCCAAATCCTGCATCTGCCAATTCTGCGGAAGCCTCAACCCTCCGCCCGAACCCTGAACCTTAAGCTCTAAACCTTACACACAAAACTCTAAACCCCAAACCCTCCAAAACCCCTGTGATACCCTTTAACCCTTAGAATGATCCCTCTAAACGAACCCTAAACCCTGTGATACCCTTACATAGTAACCCTGAAAAGGATCCCTTTAAAGGAACCCTACACCCCAAACTATGGTAGAAGCCAGAAAGTTGGAAGATCATTCTCCTCATGCCCTTAAGGTAAAGTATAAGGGATCCGAGCACGAGTCCTCCTAAAGCCATGTTCCAACTTTCTGACTTCTACTGTAAACCCTAAACCCTAGGGTTGGGGTTTAGGGCTTAGGGCTTTGTGGGAGGGGAGTAGGGTTGCCCAAGGGTTCTTAGACTTGGGCTTCAGTGTTTAGAGATCCACTGGAGGAACCCAATACTCGCCTTGCGATCCCGGGATTCGAAGCGCAGAAGTTTCTGGTGCGCATGGTCCCATCGCCTGGGCCGGGTTTCCCAGAGGCCCCAACAACCCCTCAACTAAAGACTATACCCTTTAAGAGCTCCTTAAAGGGATCTTTAAAGGAAACCATCCAAGATCCTTCGCCAACCTCCCCAAAGTGGCACAAAGCCCCTTGCCAAAGCCCGCTCTTCTAGGGAACCTGTAAAAGATCCAAAGCCTGGAACCCCGAGACTCCAATACACCTTAATCAACGAATCTGCCTTAAATCATATGAGGGTTCCTTTTATAGCTTTAAGGTATATTCCCAATTCTGGATCCGTGTGCAGCTGTGACCGGCTTCCAAGAAGCTTGAAACTGCTGAGAGGACTTCAAAGGCTCTGAGATCGAGCCATACGCGTCTGGTACCTACCCACCATCGCCAAAACGGTTTCAGAGGTTTACGTGGGGTCTATCGTGGTGTTTGCTTGCTAACTGCTCAGAGTGGCGGGATCGACAGGCTTTGCTTCCGAAGGTCATCACGATTTGTGATGCAATCTTCCGCAGTACCGGAGTCCATAAACCCTAAGGCCGAATCCCCAAACTTTAATTTCAGACCCTCAACCCTCAAAACCCTAAACCCTAAAATCCTACACTCTAGACCCTAAGACCCCCCCTGTTCTAGCTTTTTGAAAGCAGAGAGGTTGCCTCAACAGCCGAGCCAACTTCTGACTGATGCGGTCCTGCATTCTCTAAAGCGTCGGAGCAGGGCCTGGGGTTTACTTGGAGGGTCGGGGACTTAGTAACTGGTTAGGGGCCCTAGGGTTCCCTTTAAAGGGCTCCTTGTAAAGGGGTCTATAGGGGCTACTATAAGGGATCTATAAGGGTACTATAATGTCGGGGGACTTAGTAACTGGTTATTTTAAGGACTTATAAGTACCCTAACCCCAATTAGGGTCCCTTTTTGGGTACTTATAAGTCTACTTACTACCTACTTACTAAGTCCGCCGACCCTCCAAGTAGGGCACATACGGCTGATGATATAAATCCTGCAATAGGAATATACCATAATTCCCATAGTTTAGGGTCCTTGAGGTAATGCAGGATTTATATCATCGACAGTAGTTTAGGGTTCAGGGTTCATATCTAATTGGGAGTTTCCGAAAATTAGGGGGGTACCTTACTTTGGAGGTCCTCATAATGAGGATCCTACTGTTTAGGATACTATATAAGGGTCCCCCAAGCTCGGAAACCCCAATTATAACTGGGGCTGCAACTCCTCCAGTAACTAGTATGAGTCACCAGCCTACGCAACTACCCAAGTAACCCTAAACCCGACTCCCTAGATCCAAAACCAGGATCAAGGTCTCAGGGTTTAGGCTTCTTGGGGTGAAGGCTTGCAGCTTTCGGTTAGGGCGTGGGGAGGGTTCGGGGCTTAAGGTCCTAAACCCCAAACCCTAAACCCCTACACCCTTAAACACTAAAAGCCTACAAAAACTAAATCTCAATCTTGTAAACCCTTCTGAACCCGAAACCCTAAACCCAGGTCCCCCAAAAGCAATCAGGCTTTAGGGTTTCGGGGCCCGATTCAGGGTCCGATGTTTAGGGTTCGAGTCGAAACTCCGAAGGCAGCCGAAACTCCGAAGGCAGCCGCAGCAGTTTCAAAGGAGCACATGGAATCGAAACTCCAAGTCCCAGGCTCTCAACCCCAAATCTTACTCTCGCCCCGCGCCCAAAGCCCGAAACTCCCAGTACGAAGACTTAAACCGGATATCCTACACCTTAAACCCAAAACTAAAGAAACTAAACCCCCAAAGCATGAAAACGGTAGCTGGAGCCGCAACTCTGAGAGGTTAAGCCCCAAAAGCCGAAACCCTTCAAAACCACGACATGCATCGAGGGCAATCACAAAGAAGCCCTTATGGGACCCCTATAGAACCCTTATAGAATCATAGCGCCCTCATAGACGCCTTATAGAGCCCTTAAAGAGCGCCTATGGAAACCTTGCAGAACTCTTATAGAAGCCGTATAGAACTGTTATAGAATCTTGACAGGGGCCATATTATGAAGACCTTATCCTAATGTCAAGGCCCTAACAGTAGGACTCGGACCCTAAACAAAGGCCCGTGAAGTAGGGCAATCGCAGTCAGAATCGAAGGGCCAAGCTGTATGCAGGAGAGGACGAGGTCCTTCTCAAGCCCTTAGAGGAAACCTTAAAGGAACCCTACATTACCCTCACAACGCTGAAAGGAACCCTGAAAGGAGTTCTTGAGGGAACCTTAAAGGAACGTGTAAAGGAACCCGTAAAGGAACCCTTAAAAGGAACCCTCGAAGGCACCCCTCAAAGCCCCACACCCTTAAAGGAGCCCGTTAAAGGAACCTAACATAGGGGCCTTAATAATTAGACTAAGGTTTTGGGGCCCATTCTAGTATGATTACAATAAGGAACCCCCAAGATAGTATAGGTAATTATTAAGGCCCCTACATTACTTTCTAGGCATCTATAGGGCCTGTGGACCAACGCCGTCCTCTCTAGGGATCGTCTGCTTGGCTTCGCCGTGGGGCAGCTTCCGGCCTCAAAGATAGTTCGGGCTTCAAGGTGAGGGGTTTAAGACCCTAAACCCTAAACCCTATAACGCCTAGGGTTTAGGGGTTTAAAATCTTTTGAAGGGCCTCTTTTCGATCTGCAGAGTGCGTCTCAAAAGTCCCTTTGGGCAGGCAACAAGCATTCTGTTAGAACACCTGGGCTTGACAAAAGAAGGTAGGCTTGGTAGCTCAGGGTTTAGGGTTTTAGGGTTTAGGGTTTTAGGGTTTAGGGTTTTAGGGTTTAGGGAGATAACCACAAGCACCCTTATGCCAGATTTGGGCTCCCTGACAGGATTCTTTCAAAAGGATTGCGTTAGCAATTTACTGAGGATTTTGGAGCCCTTCACTCAACCCACCAACGTTGAACCCATCGTTCTCTTGGACCCTAATCCCGCAGAACCCTGCTCGAGCGTCTGGAACAAACTATAGACTCCTTGCAGGATTTGGCTCGTGGGGGCAGTGCAGGGTTCAGCGATTGGGGTTTAAGGTTAAGCGCTCAAGATTGAGAAAGAACCCTGCGAAAGCGATGATACTCCCGACCTGTGCACTCACACCTATCAACAGTTTTGTGTGACTCAACATCGTCTGACTGCTGTGGCAGTTGTGAGCCCAGGTGGCTTTCTTCATCAAGGACTCCAATCCAATGCAAGTCTGTGGGCAAAAAGAAACTAAGTGATGGACGGATCTTTGTCAATCCTTGTCCAAGGGAGCACTGGCACAATCCTGAATAGAACCTGCGTCCCAGCTTCCACCACCTTGCTTTCTGAAAGAGCGTACACCAATAAGTGGAAGAAGCCGATCGCTGACCCGAAGCAGAGAAAGAAAAACTTCTGAATCGCAGCAAAGAATGGCGGTCGCTTTTCCGGAGGCCTTCGCCCATCCCACGCCACAAAACTTGTAAGAGGTATGCAACAAAGCATCATTTAACTAAGCTCACTTTGAAGCCCTCGGACCCTCACCCCCAAATAACCGAGACCCCGAACCCTAAGCCCAAACCTTCAATACATGGACCTCGTGTAGGCCGCTGACCTAGTTCAGTTGTTGAACCCAAACATGTAACTTTAAGTCCAAAACCCCAAAGCCTACTTTCCGAACCCCAAAACCCCAAACCCTCAGAGCCTGCGCTTTGATCCCAGAACCCTTCAAACCTCCAAACACACCTGCAAAAACACCCACCAACCCCTCCTTAAACCCGCCAAAAAACACCCATAAAAATCTCACAAACCCTCTTTTTAACAAAACTCCCCGAGCCCCCTAAAACCGTAAACCCAATATTACATCGGACAATCCCGAATTCGACGGGCCTCCGCCGCTGCCCGACGGCCTGGGCGCCTGAAGGCACGGCCCGACTTTTAAGGGATCCGCACGGAGTTAGGGCAGGATTCAGGCTTGTTGGGGTTTAGGATGTTGAGTTTTCATGGGTTTGGTTTTGAGGTTTAAGTGTTGTGGCGACAATGTGGAGCTTCGTCTGTTCTGAATGGGGGTTTTGAGCCAAGGGCCCTTGCCCCAGTCGTACAGCTTTTGGCATCTCAGTGCAACAATCTTCGGATCTGGTGAGGCTTTGGGCAGAAACCGAGGGCGAGGGGAACTGCCTCGCAACTTGTCGGCCCTGTTGCCACATCACTGTCATTAGCTTGGACTGTAAATGTCGAATTAAGTGCAGCTAGGACCTAGAATCAGCTAGAATGCTTCCCACTTCGACTGCACCCAATGTGCAATGGCATCGAGCAGCCATTCACTTCTGTCGTTGAAGTAGATCTCCTCCATCTTGCGTCCAACCACGTCGAGCTGTTGGTCCTCAAACGCGGTACCCTTCATGTGCTTTTTGGCCTGCACACCATAGCGTGGGATGGACGGTTGATTGCAAATCAGGAGGTTCACAGCACTGTTCACAGTAGAGCTCCATGTCACTCCTTGAGAGGGAAGAAAAGTCATGCTTCGAGCTGCGCCGGACTCCGGCACCGTGCTTCCATGCAAGCTCGATGTACATCCATGCCTTTTCAGCGCTTCGCAAGCTGGCTTGGCTATGCAAGGCATAGCTGGTCGTCCAGTCTGCTGAAGTCTCGGAAAGGTCGTCCAAATCCATGCTTCGAAGCTGCGTTGGCTGCGGTTTCGACACTCCTCCCGGCAAGATATCACGGTATCACAAGACATGAACATCGTAACAATGAATCCCACTTCCACCATCATCATGATGATGATGGCGATGATCATCATTACTATCACCCTCCACATCAACGTCATTGCCACCGTAATCATAATCACCACCCCAAGCCCCTCCCCAGCTCCTTACCGATCCCGAGCCTGAACAACTCGCAATATTCTTACCTGTAGTATACTTGCACTACAAAAAACCCCAGAACCCTGTAAAGAACATTAGGGTCCTTTGTGGCTGCTGGCCAGGGCCCACAAGACGGCCAAGCATGCTCTGCGAGAGGAGAGGTCGACTCCACGGGCACAGCTCTGCACCCACCGAGCCGTCTGCAAGCAATGTATGAATGATGATCATCATCATTATGAGGATGAGGATGAGGATGATAAACGTGAGGATGATGATGAAGATGACGACGATGATGATGATTACAACAATGGTGATGGCGATGATGGCGATGATGGGAACTGCAATCAAAAGCTTTACAAAGCCTCGGCCCTGAAACCCTAAACTCTACAGCCAGAAAGCTCCTGGCCTGAAAACCATGATCAATGTCCAGTATAGGGCCTGCAAGCCTCAAAGCCCTCCCCTGAACCCTGAACCCTAAGCCCTGGACCCCGAACCCTCCCTGAACCCTTACTTGGAGGTTCATGAGTAGTTATAAGCGAAGTTATAAGTAGGGTAACTACAATTATACGCAATATCAGGGGACCTATATCCCCACCTATAGCTACAACCCTAAACCCTAAACCCTAAACCCTAAACCGCTACCCATGAACCTGCAAGTAAGCTCTGATCAGATCTCAACGGCCTTGGTCCGCCTGGAGCGCTCGAAAGCTAAGGCCTTGGCGACAGCATCCCATAAAGGATCCCCAGAGACTCCAATACCCCTTAATTAAGGAATATACCTTAAATTATAGTAGGATCCCTTATATGATTTAAGGAATATTCCCTAATTAGGGGATATTGGAGTCTCTGGGATCCCGTAAAAGAGCCCTTCAAGGATTCCCTTACTAAAAGACCTTTGAAGGGCTTACGGTTTTGGGCTTCGCTTATGGGTTTGGGCTCAGGGCCGTTTAGGGCTTACAGGTTTGGGTTTAGGATTTATGTGTTTGGAGGTTGAAGGGTTTAGGGTTCCGGTTTCTGTAGTGTGTTACAGAGGTTCATCAGGTGCTATGGGGTTTTATAACGGTTAAATAAGAGCCCGAATACTTAGTACTCCTAGTCCTTCAAGGCTCCCTATTGTACCTGGAGGGTCGGGGGACTTAGCAAGTAGGTAGTATATAAGTAGACTTATAAGTACCCTAAAAAGGACCCTAATTGGGGTTATGGTATTTTTCAGTCCTAAAATAACTAGTTACTAAGTCCCCCGACCCTCCAAGTATTGTACCTGTAGTATCATGGCGTTGCGGGCTTGGGGTTGGAAGATTGCGGGGGCTTGAGGCGTTGAAGGCCTGGGGGCAAGAGGTATTTACTTTGGGGTTTAGGGTTTAGGGGTTTAGGGTTTAGGGGTTTAGGGTTTAGGGTTTAGGACGTGAGAGTTGAGGACAAGGGCGTTAGGGTTTAGGGTTGAGAGATGCAGGTTTCGAGGTTTGGGGCTTCCCAAGTCACTTATTCGAGCAGGGTCTTGGGATGTGCTATGCTTTGGCTATGCTGGGACCGGAAGGAATAACATTACTAGGAGGGTCGGGGGACTTAACTTAGGAAGTGGTTATCTCAATATAGAGTTCTAAGTACCATAACCCCGATTAAGATCCCTCGCAGGCTACTTATTAGTCTGCTTATTACCTACCCTCCAAGTACCCGCCTCAAGGGGACTACTTGGAGGATCATGAGACTTCGTAAGTACAGCTGCCTTTCTTTATATCCCCAGCTACTATGCTACTAAGTCCCAAGATCCTTCAAGTAGACCCGCACTTCAAACTCGTTGGCGTGGGACTTGGGCTGAGGCCCTGCAACTGCCGCGGCAATAAAAGAAAACAATGAAATTCAATGTGAACCAAAAAGAAGCTGCTGCTACTACTACTACTACTACTACTAGTACTACGACGACGACTACTACTACTACTACTACTACTACTACTACTGCCCCAGGTAGGTCTTCACACCGTTCATCCCACAACTGAGGAACAACCCAGTTTCTCCCGACCCATCCCAAACAGTCGCTGGTGACCTAGGCTTCCAATCCCGAAATCCGTGACCCTACGAACGAAAAACCTAAACCCTCCAAGGATGGACAGTGAACCTGGCATCCAAAATCGCAAAGCCTTCAACTAAAAACCCCAAAGCCCTGAGGCCCTACGGTCCCAAAGAGCAAACATAAAAATTGGCACCCTGAAGCAGCCTGTCGTCCCAAAGCCTGGAACCCTAATCCCCAACTTTTGTGAACCCTTAAAACCCCCAAGCCCTTCAACATCTAACCCCTGTAGCTAATGTAGGATACTGAATACCTAGTAACACCACACCCCCCCTATACCCTCTTCTGAAATTAAAGCCTTTTGAACACAAGATCCACCTTGTAATTAACAACAAAAAACACAGAAAAAAACCTCTAACAAAATTTGAAAAGTAAAAAATACAAACATACATCCCAAAAGCCCTTTTAAGGCCCCTCACTTGGAGGTTCATGGGTAGTTATAGGTGGGGCTATAAGTAGGTTAACTATACTTATAACCCACTTATGGGACTTCTAACCCTACTTATAATTACCCATGAACCTCCAAGATAGACCCTAAACCCTATACCCATATAGAACCCCTATAGATCCCCCTTTAAAGGGATATACCCCCTTCTAAAGGCCCTCAAAGCTAAGGACGGAGCCGCCTTCCTGGATTGGTGTCGGGGTCGGTCCTCGCGAAGCATCGCGAGCCTCGGACCCCGGGCTTACTGGGAGGTTTTGGTGGAGTTCGGGAGCCTTTGGGCTCTATTTGGGGATGCTACGGTCCCTTTAAAGGGATCTACTTGGAGGGTCACGGAACTTAGTAAGTAGGTAGTAAGTAGACATATAAGTACCCTAAAAAGGGACCGTAATTGGGGTTATTGTACTTATAAGTCCCTAAAATAGCCAGTTACTACGTCCCCCGACCCTCCAAGTATAGGGATTCTCGAAGGGTTTAGGGTTTCTTCGGGGCCTGGGACCCCAGAGACCCCACTACCATAATTTAAGGTATAGTCGTTAATTAAGGGATATTGGAGTCTCTGGGGAGTTGCGGCTCCTACTTGGAGGTTTTTGGGTAGGCACACTTTATGGCTTATGGTTTAGAGTTTGAGGGTTTGGGGTTTAGGGTAACTGTTGTAGGTGGGGCCACATGTCCGAAAATTTTAAAATTTGGAATTATAGCCACCCTACTTACAGACGCCACTTACATTTTCCCATGACCTCCAAGTATGGGCCTTCTACAAGGCGACGAAAGGGACTATCGGATGAAAGTCGGAGAGATTGGGGGTTGAGTGTCGTAGTGGTTTGGGTGAGTTATGGTTCCTATGAGGGTTGCTACAAGGGTTACAAGGGAAAACAAAGGGCTTCATTACAACATAGGGGCTACCGTAAGGGCTACTATAGGGATTGCGGGTTTACGCTTTAAGGGTCAGGGCAGAGGCGGTTTCGGTTCCCTAAACCCTAAACCCTAAACCCTAAACCTAAACCCTAAACCCTAAACCTAAACCCTAAACCCTAAACCCTAAACCCTAAACCCTAAACCCTAAACCTAGACCCTAAACCCTAAACCCTAAACCCTAAACCCGCATCGGGCCTCGGGTTCAGCGTCTAAGCTGATTTGTAGGGCTCTGTGGGGTCCAGAAAGGGTTGCAGGGTTTTGCATGGGTCCTATACGTGTTGCAGGAGGGTTCTGCAAGAAGGTCTATGAAGGCTTAGGGTTCTAGAAAAGACTACCCAGCAAATTATGGGGGGGGCCTTAGTACTATAATTTCAGGGGTGTCCTTTCGTAGGCCCTAAGCCCCTAGACCCTAAACCTCTAATCCCTGAACCCTTAGGGGCTCTCTGGGTTCGGGCTCCGAGTGAAGTTTGCGACTTCGGATGGGCCCCCGGCCGATTCCAGCGCTCCAGGCGACGTTCGCGGAAGGGGCGCGCAGCCTGGCAATTGGGATTTTGGGCTTGAGGTTTAGGGCTCGGGGCTTGGGGTTTAGGATTTAGGGTTTATAGGGTTGATGTCAACAACACCTTCATCACCGCTGGGAGCATCACCATCAGCAGCCCTGTCATGCCCACCATCTCCCCCCTACATAAGCCCTAGAGTTAGAATCCCTAAACCTCGAAACCCGAAATTCCTAAACCCCGAAACCCTTCTCCTTAAACCCACCCTGAAGCCGCCGCCCGTTTTGTGTCAGACCCTGGGCTTCTGCAGCTTTGGACCTGTGTCTTCATTCTTGAACTTCCTTAACCCCACGTGACCTACCTTTTTAAGGACTTACATAAAGAAATCATATTAGGGGGGGCCTAAAAAGGTAGGTTCCGTAGGGTCCAGGTTGAGGTAAACACCACAAAATTCAGGGTTTAGGGTTTTCTGTTTGTTGTGAAGGCGTATACTCCCTTAGACTCTGTTACGAAGGAGCAGGCTGGTTGTTCCCCTTTTCCACAGATCTGTAGTCTCAGCGTTTAGGGCGATTCAGGTCATTCGGAAATCCTTGAATCGTTCAGTGGGGTGTGTCCGAGAGCAGACTATTGCATTGCTTGCAGGCGGTAGTTTCGAAGTTTGCATCGGACCTTGAGGGGTGACTTGGAACTCAGGTTCGGGGCCCATTATCACTACTGGTATAATTATAATAAGGAACCCCCAAAATAGTATAGGTAGCATATTATTAAGGCTCCTATGTTAGATTGATGTCGCTGACCCCTTGTACTGGACAGAGGAGGGACACACGAGACCAACAGTATCGAGACCATCCGGTGGACACACAAAATATTGCTACTGCAGCTGCCCAATCTTTATAGACGGCATCATAAGGGCGAAGAAGTCTCAAAACCATGTCCTATGAACCCTCGTGCGGAGTCCGCTCAACAAGTGTTATCTACTACCATCCAGTGAGGATGCTTTGGTGCAGGGTGTGGGAAGGCCGGGGACATATACGACAATAAACAAAACAAGACCTACTTGGAGGATCATGGAACTTAGTAAGTAAGGTTATGCGTAGATTATTTGCCGATAGGATATAAGTAACCAGACTTGCCTTGTTTATAACCCGAGTTACAAAGTCCCACGATCCTTCAAGCATGTTGCCGGGCTGGCTTTTTGCACCTCGCGCAGAACCGTCGAAGAGCGCTGGCATGCCAAGCCAGCTCGGAAGTGGGCTCGGTCCACGACCAGCATTGGACGGAATCTTCCGTCCCCATCGGCCGCGAAGAAAGCCTCCGATTGGAATCGCAGATCTTGCAGAGCTTCATGTGACAGATTCAGGCGCAGCGAGTGAAGATGTCGCGGTCCCGCACCAAGCTCGGATCGCCAGAGCCCCAGCCGCGAAGCAGCCACGGCAAGCAGCATCAGGCCCAGAGAAAGAACATCCAGGAGGGAAATCATGCTGGCGCAGAATAGCCACGAGGTCCTCGGAAGCTGAGCGGCTGAAGCCCAGAATCACTCCTCCCACAAGCTTGACACGCACAACCCAGGAGGACGGAATCGACACCCTGGGACCCTGGGTGAAAACCGGCTCCGGGGGTTCCCGAAAAAGGGGGCCCCAATATACTAATACTACTACTACTACTACTACTACTACTACTACTACTACTACTACTACTACTACTACTATTACTACAACTACTACTACCCTACATTGTAGGATCCGTATAGTTATAATTGGGGTTTTCCGAAAACGGTGGACCTTAATATACTATCCTAAATAGTAGGATCCTTATTGTACGGACCCCCAAAAAAGGTACCCCCAATTTTTGGAAACCACCAAATCTCAAGACCCAACTCCAAAGACCTTGACTTCCTCCGAGTTGCCGCCGTTGCCCGAAGCCGCGGCACTACCAAGGCCATTCGATACCTTACACGAAGCTGTAATTTACCGCACATGCTACTTGCTGCTGCTGTTGGCGACGCTTCTACTGCTTTTTGCCTATCCTCATAGCTAAGGGCGCTATACCAGAACAAAGCCCAGATGAACCCTTAGCTGACTCAAGTCCTTGCGCAAACAGAAGCCCTTTGAGGGCGTACGTGGCCCCTCTGGCCTCAAGCCCCTTCGCTCAGGAATTTTGTTGAAAACATTAGTGTTCAGGGTTTGGGTTTAGGGTTTAGGGCACAGTCCTTCACTCATGGCCTCTTGCAGGAAGGCTTTCCACCCCCAAACAAGGTTGGGATGACCCATCCTGGGTCTGGGCTTAGGGCAGGAATACTCAGACAGCTTCGGAAGGTTCCGATTTGGTTTAAACCACGGGTTTGGGGTTCAGGGCCCAACCCTGAACCCTAAACCCTAAACCCTAAACCCTAAACCGTCCTATACCCCCTACCTTACACCCTCGACCTTGCGACTCCCGGGCCCAGATCCCTGTACCCAGGGTCAGAAGAACCAGGGACTCCATTTCTTGATGGGTTTAGGGTTTAGGGTTTAGGGTTTAGGGTTTAGGGTTTAGGGTTTAGGGTTTAGGGTTTAGGGATCACATTCAGGATCCCGCTATAACTGAAAGTCTGTTCCTTAAACAAAGGCTTTTTGGAAGAAGCCCGAAAGGAACCTTTTAAGGAACACCAAGCCCAAACCCCATCTAGCAACCCTTAAAGTACCCTTGACACTGACTCTTCTACCCCAAGGGTACCAAACCCCAAATGTCAGAACCAAGCCCTAAACCCTTTTTGACGCCTAAAGCCTAAACCCTTACAGACCTCTGATCGGAACCTTTATAGGCACCCCAGCCCCTTCTGGAGCCCGTTTAAAGTGAACCCTAAAAACCCCTACAGGAACCCCCCAACGACCCAGGAGTTCCGATGCGTGAAGAATCATGGGACATAGAAGGTAAGGTTGCAAGTACCTCGATTGGGGTGGGCATAAGTATTTATGACACTGGTTGCCTCATATTATATATATGACAACGAAATTCTCACACAAATGCCATGAATCCCTGGCTTCAGCGGAGGTGTTTTCCAACTGCTTCCGCTTCGGTGGCGTTAAGTCTGCGCTTCGATCTTACAGATCGAAGTAGTCGATCTTACAGATCGGTGTTGATCTTTCCTTCCGCTGGGAGGACCGACTGGTTCCCAGGCGGTGCTCGCAGACAGGAAGCAGAGGAAAATTTAAAGTAATATCGAAGAGGGTCGGGACGGGTGGGTGAAACAAAATTTCGCTCAAGCTGTAACAGCTTTCGCCAAAATGGCCACGGAGTATACAATCATTCGACATGAATCGGTGAGTCAATCCCCTGACCGATTCGGTGTTTAAGTGAGATATGAAGTTGTCACTTCGCACAAACAAGTGTGTGCTACACGACAACGAAATTCTCACACAAATGCCATGAATCCCTGGCTTCAGCGGAGGTGTTTTCCAACTGCTTCCGCTTCGGTGGCGTTAAGTCTGCGCTTCGATCTTACAGATCGAAGTAGTCGATCTTACAGATCGGTGTTGATCTTTCCTTCCGCTGGGAGGACCGACTGGTTCCCATCGAGTGTGTCGCGTCCTCCCATCGCAGGCGAACGCCACTCGAAAGAACATTAGCGTAACATCGAAAGCAAATGGTCGTGCAATCGGTGAATTTCGGGTAAGTCGGAAAAACCCGTCGAGGAAGCAAAATGGATATCTCCTATGATCTTCGCAGCTCTACTCGTCAGTGCATTAAGAGGCAAATCGAGTTTAGTCCAGCTCTCAGACTCCGGAACGTTCTCAAAGCGGCTGATCCCGTCGGAGATGTTCGCCTTGGTGGGTACCCGCTCAAGTCGATGTGCAATGCTGCGTCGATTGTGCCAAGTCCAATGTGCCGCAATGAGGCAATTCAAAGGTTGATGTTTGCCGACGCCCTTGAGTAGGGCGTGTCGGGAGGCTTCGTTGTCGCAGCATTGAACATAGAACTGATCCAGCCACGGTTCGAAGACCAACGGTGCCAGTATCGCTACCCATGCTTCGAGAAGGTAGATGAAGGCCTGGTCGGAGGCAAACTGTCGAACGAGTAGTGAGGGAAGACGACCCTGGAAGTAGGCGGCGGTTCGCACGTCACCGTGGTGGAAGCAAACCGCCGCCCAGCCGTTTTCGATGTCGGACGTCGACTTTGAGTCCCAATTCGGGATGTCGTTGTCTCCCGGCTTGTAGATGGTGGAGCCAAGCCGGAAGTATGCGTCCGTGTAGATGACGCTGTATGTCGTCTTGGTCGGTGTACGTGGTATCGTCATTGGTCGGCAGTGCTGTATGATGTCCTTGAGGGCGAGTAGTGATGAGCGCGTGGGCTTGTCGAGGGCATGTGAGTAGGAGTGAGCTCGAGAATAAAGTGCCTTCAGGGCCGCTCGGCCCACCTTGCCAAATAGTCTCCCAGTCAGGAAGTTGCACTTCCCGGCCATCTTCCTGGCTTGTTCGGGGGACAGTGACGAAGTAGCCAGGTGTGTGTCGATTTGTCTACACATGTTTTCGACTCTCTTTGGACAAGGTGTGAGGACCAAGTTGTCGTCGTCGGATGAAATGATGACTCCTTGTATACGATGTGCTGTTTGTGGTGGTTGACGTTTACTGGGTTTCATCGATATCTGGAGACATCCGTTGTACTCCTCGAAGGACTCGAAGCTGCCTTTGGCGAGGTCGGAGTCTTCCATGGATCCGTAGTCGTCGACGTAGTGCATGGCCGGAGACAAGATCATCGTTCGGCTGCAGGCCACGAGAATGTCGCCGAATCGATTGTAAGACCAGACACTTGCGGCCGATCCGAAAAGAAGGACGTTGTGGCTCCACAGCGTTGGGCCGTCCGGGGTCAGCAACATCACATAGGCTTCTCGAGGATCACGAAGTGGAAGTTGGCGATAAGCCCCGTCGTGGTCATGTCCCCAAACAGACAAGGGTTTCGAGTGATCGGTTCGGAGTGTAGCGAGTCCCAAGGAAATAAAGTGGTCGGGTGTGTGATGGTACGGTTGGTCGTGCATGGTGCAGGTCGCGTTGTGGCCACTC